AGGTAACGTGCAGACTTGATAATATATACGAATAGAATCGAGGCAGGCTTAGCTGTTCTAACCGGGCATTGAAATAATGTGAGAAAGAAACGAACGGAATGACTTCCATCGTCTTTCTATGTACTGAAATGACAACCATTTTCATGGTCACACAGGATCCCTCACCCTTCCATCCTTTTTAAGACGTAGTCTGATTATTGAGACTCTGGCTTGGCTCTCCCTCATTCGACCGGCCTACCTTTCTGATCCTCCAGCTGCTGGCTCGCCTTCGCAGTAAAAGCTTGTGCTCATACTTCAATCTTATCCGGTCTTCTGTTATCGATCTTCCTGGAATGGCTTTTCCTGCTTTCTCGAGTCTGGATACCCACATTCTCACTATGGGTTTCCTTCGCCACCCTTCCTTGCTCGAGCCTTCGACCCTCTTTTTCTGGATCTTGGTGGTTGAATGTTATAGTTAGCGTGTAGCCAGGTTAACCTTCTACCCGAAGGCAACTATCCCTTTTCTTTGTATACTTTAACTACGACCCTTTGTTCTACCCAGTGGGGTACATACACAACCCTCGGGCTCAACGGTTAGGTTCGACTCTGGTCTCATCGGACACCCAATGAAAGGTTGACATTCAATTACGAAGCAGACATATATATGAGATGAAGCACACCCGAAGACAAGGTTATCTCGACTCTCGTTAAGTCATAGTTGGGTAAACTCGGAACATAGTATGGAGGGATTAAGACGACTCTCTGTAAGAGACTTTATCGAGGCTTTATACAACAACCCCTCAACTATACCTACCTTTCATAATACGTATAGCGTTACATCCGTGCACTCATTCTCTTTTTTGAGCTTTCCTCTCCACCTAGACTTTCCTGGTCCTGGGGCTTGCGTTCCTTACTTCAGTCTGTCTTTCAGTATATTGGATATCTTATTCTTAATGGCTGCCATCTTCCTTGTCGCCGTCCTTTGGCTTGGCTTATCAACTTTCAACGCCATCATGTCTTTCTTTCTACCTTGTTCTTTGGATGCTTTTCCCGGGGTCTTAGCTACTCGCTTTCGAAGGATCTTTCGCCGCCTTCTGAGTTCTGGCCATAGACTTTGTCTTAAAGGCTGGGTTGTTGTTGTTGCCCTTGTAGGTAGTCCTTGTTGGAGAGTCATAGCTTATCTCAATTGAGAGTCCTGCGCTGCGTCTTATCTAGACCGCTGGCAGCCTTAGCTAGAGCCACTATATGTAAGATTGGGGTCAAATGTGTCCTGCCTTGAACGAAGATGAACAGAGACTCCTTGGGACGTCAAGTTCGGATCTTGGCCTTTCCTATCCGCCAACAACCTGCTCGGTTGGAACCCAATCGTTGTGCAGCTCTAGGCATCTTGGGCTGACAGCACTTCAAATGGTCTCGAAATTGGCTGAAAGAAGAAGCGAAATTAGGTAGGCTCGACCTACTGGTAAGCTCTATCATTGGCTTTCACTGGTCCTTTGCTAGATGCCAATGTCGCATTGCCAACAGCCCTTGCTTTGCCCCTTGTTTATAAGGCTTATTACCTTTCTCACTTTCATCGGTACATATAGTAAATGGATGGGGCTATTCATTCTGTACGGTATTGGCGTTGTGCGACACTAGTCCTGTCGTCCGCCTAATTAGTGGGGAGACATTGATGTACGCAGTCAGCCATGAATAAGGTAAAGGATCACCAGAGATACCTTCAAAAGTGACCAACCAGTAAGTTGCTGCCGTTTCCAGCTCTGCGGCTAACGAATGTGGGAATGAGTTCGCTCCAATGGGGGAGATTTGTCTTCCCACCCTATCTCTAAAAGGTAGATCCATTTCAATCCCCTTTATTTCCTCCTACTCATCAGAACTCACTGTTATTGGTGTTGTAAGGCGACGCCCAGTGTCTAGTCACTTTGACCCCCTGTTACCCTCTCTCGTTCTTCATGGCCTAAAAAGAAAGAAAGAAAGAAAGAAAGAGAATATAATATCTATATCAAGAAATGGAAGAGAAAGCATATCAAGCCCAATGTTGGGATTTCAGGCTTATATGTAGGACCTTGACTACTACGATCGGGATCTTGAGTCCTTTCCTCTCCTTGACTTGTATTAGTAGAGCGTTCTTCATCTAAAGGCTCTAAATATCATGAACTTGTCTAAGTCAAACTCTGATTGTTGCGGGAGAAAGTTCTAGTAAGCTCGTCTCAGGTGCTTGCGTAAGTCATAAAATAACTCCTACCCTTGCTAAAGCTTGATATTTAAGGCTTTTCACTCCGATTATCCTTATTCAAGCGGTATCACAGAGAATCTTTCCTTTCGTCCTTCTGGAAAGGGTTTGAAGTGAAGAGGGAGGGGCTTGGTAGCTAGGAAAGTCAAGTCAGGGAGGAAGGCGCTGTACTATTGGGCAAGTAGCGATTATAGTCTCGTCTTTCTTGTAGCTTTGGGGATTTTGCTACTGACGGATTCAAAAGAAGGCTGAAAGATCAAGTGCAAGCTGAGTAAACTTCTTCCGTTTTACTGCAAGTCTAAAGATAAAGAAAGGGAGGGGAAAAGTCCACTCGCTATTAGCTCGCAACAATCTCTCCACTCGAATAGTAAACAGCGCTCGCCCTAGTCAAATCTGGATCTTGTTATCGGAAGAACGAATACCGAGACTCCTTTCTTGATGTTCATGTAAAAGTTATATTTCCGCATTATAGATGAGCAGGAGATGTTAGTGGCGACTCTAGATATGTAGAAATTTAGGGTCGTTACAGGTGTAATGGGGTTAATCCAAGATGTTTATTACATACCAGACCTCAAGACCAACATATTGAGTATGGGGCAACTCAGAGAGAAAGGTTACTCGATATTTTTAAAAGACCGTCTGCTACACCTAAAGGATAAGCAAGGGCGTTTGGTTGCTCAAGTCGAGATAGGAAGAAATCGGATGTACAAACTGAATTTAAGAAGCATACGAGAAAAGTGTTTGCGAGTCGACGTGGAAGACAAGGCATCACTATGGCATCTCCGCTTGGTCACCTACATCACGGCGGCCTAGAGGAGTTAGCGAAGAAGAAGCCCATGCGATCAGCGAACGAGCCAAAGAAACTGTCAGATCATGAGTAGGAGAATAGAGATTCAGAGCAACAACCTAAAACTATCGTGGATAAATCTGTGGAAAAGTTTCAATTGCAGATGTTGAACCCTAAACGAGAGCCTTTCGAAGGAGAAAGTAGAGATTGAAAAAGAAAAGAAAGATTTAGAAATGGAGATTGAAAGGTTAGAGAAGGAAGTGACTAAGTTGAGTGAGAGTTCTTTCTATCTCAAATAGGAGAAGGAAGAGAATGAGAAGGTAATCTCTGAGCTCGTGAAGAAAATTGAAGAAGGTGTGGAGAAAGAGAATGACTTATTAATGTAAATTGATGTTCTAGTGGAAGAGTTAGTGAGGGAGGAGAAAGATGTAGAGATGCTAACTCAATAGAGAGACTCGCTTGACGTGAATCTGAATTGGGTTCAACAGGAGGCAATGAGTTTACGATACGTGATTGAGATAATCACTCATGATAAAGCTGAAATGGAGAGGCAAAAGTGAAAATGGAAAATGTCGTTGTGGACTTGCGAAGGGAATTGAGTAAACTGAAAGAAGCAACGCCTTTGACTAAGTTGAGCGTGGCTGAGAACGGGAGAAATGAGGAGTTGCTGTATCAAATGGGCTGTTTTCGAGAAGCTCCGAATGAAGTTTCATCGGAAAAGGACAAGTTTAGTTTGCTGCTCGAGGACGAGGAGAGAAAATTGAAGAAACCACGACTGAGCTCGAGAAAACGAAAACGGCGCAAGTGAAATCGTTGAATATAGCATTTCAAGACACTCTGATACTGCTTTGTGAAAATACTACTCGCGTACTAGTAAAGGAGATGTCGAGAGAGGAGAGACAAGGAGACAAATAACACTAATTTTATCATTTTCTAGATAATTCGTTATAAATATCCTCTTCGATCAGCGAGCTAACGACTTCTAAATTTAATTTGAACCATTGAATTTGATGATCTATGAACGTTTTAGCTTGTGTCCAAATTTGGGGGAAATCCAATTGCTGGATTTGGAGATTCGAAGGATTTTATGCACAAGGTCATTGTGGAGGTTCTGAATTTGAGCAGAATGGTATATCCGTAATTATCCATAACTTCAAGGGTATTTTAGTAATTTTCCACTTTTCGAATACTTTATTATTATTTTCTCCAAAAAAATCATAATTTTTCTAAAAATCCTTATCTCTTACCGGTCATATTTCCCTTGTTGATCATCTTGAAATTCCTTCTAGATAAGGAACTAAAAATCTAGAAATTTCCTTAAAAATTGGAAAATGACATTTTATATCATTTTTGTTTACACTTTCATTCACAATCCTTGTCCTTGTTCAATCCTCAACATTTCTTTCCTTGGATCCTTGAGTCTTACATGGGTGGCTTTCCTTCATTTTTTTAGTGTTACAAGATAAGTCTGTCGAGCAAAACTCTACAATGCAAAACCTAATGATTAATAAAACTATATAATTAATTTATATTAATAATTACATATTTTGACGAGAAATGGATTGTTTGTACGATTCTGATAAAGAATTGAGATGTATTTCAGACTCGAGGTGGGCATGACTCAGATTGAAATAAAGAGGATGAAGACGGTAGAACAAAACTCTGAAATGCAAAAATCCAATGATTAATAGAACTATATAATTAATTTATATTAATAATTAGATCTTCTGACGAGAAATTAATTATTTGTACAATTCCGATAAAGAATTGAAACGTGGATCAGACCCAAGGTAGGGCGTGACTAAGTTTGAAATTGAGGGGATGAAGACTGAAGAGCAAAACTCTCTAATGCAAAAACCTAATGATAAATAAAACTATTTAATTAATTTATTTTGATAATTACATCTTTTGACCATAAATTGATTGTTTGTACGAATAAAGAATTGAGACGTGGGTCAGACTCAAAATGGGGCGTGACTCGGAGGGAATGAAGACTGTACTACAAAACTCTCCAAGGTAAGAACCCAATGATTAATAAAACTATATAATAAATTTATATTAATAATTAATCTTATGATGAGAAATTGATTATTTGTATGATTCTGATAAAGAATTGAGACGTGGGTCAGACTCGAGATAGGGCATGGATCAAACGTCTAGCATAACTTAAATAGTTGAGCGGCTCACTTAAATTTGTTTGTTTCATTGGTTGTGACTTTGAGTGCATTAGATTTATTAAATTTTCTTTTAGAAATAAAAATAAATTATTCTATTGGTAGAAGTGGAACAAAATATGATAGAATCTTGAAGCTAACAAAGAACAGAAATAAGGGAAAAACAAAGGAATGCCAATGACTCGAAGAAGGAAACGAAAGTTGTTGGTCTCGTTCAAGATCTATACAAAAATTAATGATATATGAACAATATAGTCATCTTCGAGATGAAGCTGAGAGAATCATTAAATTCGGAATGGTAAAAAAAAAAAAAAAAAGACAACCAAGGTGTCTCTTTTCATCTTGAAGCTCCAACTCTGACTCTCTAAGTTGGAATACTTTTCGTCGGAGGAAATGAGCAATGGTAGTTTCTATTATTTAAAGAATGAACAATCGAGCATATTGCGTGCTCAAATTCAAGCCAATGAAATAGAAAAATAAATTGAACAAAAGAATAAAGTCTTGGCTAAGCTTGATTCACAACAATAGTAACTAGAAAACATACGAAACCGAATTAGAAAATAGAAAAAACTAAGAGATATCCGAGAAAATGATTTTGATAGGAAATTTGAAAGAAGAATTGAAGGAAAAGATTGGAGTTGCATAGAAGATAATGAATGAGAAAGAGAGAGTTATTGCATGGATTAAGGACCTGAGACAAAAATACGATGGAGTTAATATAACAGATGTGGAAGTAATTTGAATCTTAGGCACTCTTAAAACATCAATTATAGTAAATAACTAACATGTTCATAAGTATTAAAACTCAAGGTGTTTAAGTACTAACCTTTTGTAGTTCAAATTCCTTTTTCTTCACGAACCGATTTCGAACCACTACTAGTGTCTTCTCCACTATTCTCTGGCCTTAGAACGAGATTGTGGAATCCGGTGAGTAACTAAACTTGGGAGGGATTTAGTATATATGAAAAGAGAATTTGTGAGAGTTTTTCTCAAGGTTTTTCAAAGTGACCAGTCACATGTACCTTGATCACTCTATTTATAGAATTCTGTTAGCATATTCATGCAAAGTTGAGATCACCCAATTTCAAACATAGATTTCATTAAGTGAAGTCAACTTTCTTCATTTTAATTGAACAATTAATTTCAAATTAAAGTAATATTAAATGATTAATTAAACTATTTAATTAATATTTAATATTAATTCAAATGTCAATCCCAATCAATTCCGACAAATATTTGATTAAAATATTTAAATCTTATTTAAATATCTCAAATTCTAATCTTTTTGTTTAATTCGTAAATAAAACAAAAATGCAGTTAAATGTATCGTATATATGTAGCGCATATTCCCTAATTTTAATTTGAACACTTCGAACTCACTCGTCACACTATTCTATGGTTTAGTCCGATATGAGCTAGCAGAGGGATCTAATGGACCTATAGATCATGGGCTTCAACGATCCAAGATTAACCGGTTAAACTCATTAACCTTGTTAACCAACACTCGTTAACTACTAGAACACTCCACTATAGCCTAGTAGTTGCACTCCCCTCACTATAGATATATTTCTGTCCATTTGATATAACCATGATTAGTAAATCGATCCTTCACAGGTTGTTCGTAACTAGAGTTGGGTCAATTAACCGTTTTACCCCTGAAGTTACTTCTTGTTCCTTATGTCCTACTGATCCTCTAATGAACAATTGGTTTATGGTCCAACTAGTAAACCGAATCTCTCTCAGGCCAATGAGAGGCTGGGGCCCTTTGTTCAAGACCTGGATTCAGTACTTAAGGGAACTACCTCTTTTCTATCCCTAAAAGTGGATAGGAGCAAATTCCATCTTGCACCCCACGTCCCCAGCCATTCACCCAGTCTTACCCCCTGAAATGGGAGGCTTTTTTAGTCGGCGAACTCGAGCCACTCTCACCCATGCAAATCTAAGGATAATTCCGAATAAACAGGAGTTCATAGTTAGCTTAGGAGTTCATAAACAGGAGTTCTAGCTTAGGTCATCGAATGAAAAGAAAATCAGTCTCAATAGTAAACGACATTATAAAGTGAGAGTGATTTTCTTCATGGTTTGATCTTATGCAATACTCATTGCATAGGACGCCCCCACTCACAAGTCTCCGCATGTACAATTTAGTGATCACATTGTTTATGTCATATACAAAAGTGGGTCACATCCATAGTTTTCCCATGATAAGGTACTCACCCTTATCCCTACTATAGATCATTTTGTCTATATACTTGAACTTGATCCACTCTTATGTCTCTACATATAGTTTAAGTAATCATACTATAGTCAGAGTATTCTTAGTTTATTGGATTTAGATTAACGATGGTAAAATTCACTTTATTCAATAACAATCGACGGAATAAAAATCAATAATAACTTTATTGAAAATAGAATATGTTTTTATTTACAAACTATGAGTTTTAGGACATAAAACCCAACATATTGTATTTTCTTCTCAATTTGAGTTAATAAAGATTGGGAATATTTCCAAAAATAAATAATAAATAATAATAATAATAATAATAATAATTATTATTATTATTATTATTATTATTATTATTATTATTGTGTTCAACAAAAAATAATAAAAGAAAAAAGAAAAGAGAGGTAAAAAAAAAAAGAAGAAGAAAAGGAAAGAAGGAGAAGAGGATTTTGGAAAAGTGAGGGAAGGAGAAGAAGAGGAGAGTGAATGTTCTATGAAAAGGGAAGAGAGAAGAAAAGAAAAGAAAAGAAAAGAAGGAAAAAGGAATAACGTCAGCGCTTCGGCATGGTCACCTAGTCAACTGTCAAAGTTAAAAATTTTGACTTTTCCTTTTTTTTTTAATTCTCATGGAGCTCGTTTTTCAAGCGGTTTTCACCAATTGTATTCTGGGCATATTTGAGGAGTTTGATGGATGTGAGACTTTTTGGAAGACCCGAACTCGAGCAAAAAGTGTCGTGCATTTCAAGTAAGTGGCACCTCAAAACCTTGAATTTAACTATGCTCGTAGTATGATATAAGAAGCATGTCATAGAAATTTAAGCATGAAACGAGTTAGTTTGATGCATGCAAGAGCATGTTAAACATTATGATGCACATTTATCGAGGAGTGAACGGTTGAGTTATGATTTGACCGAAATTGAGAGCATGCCTTTAGTATGATACAAAACATGTTATAGGAACCCTATTATAAATGTTTGAGCATAGTATGAGATGAGATGATACATCTTGAATGTTATTATCCATGTTTACTAAACACGTACATACTACCTTATGAAATAAAATCCATGACTAGGTGGTATCTATGTTTAGATCGCTACGGTATGTCTCTATTCCATATGTTTGTGATGTATGTGGTTATACAAGGACAATTAGGCATTTTCCAACTAACCTCTAGTCGTGAACACGACTTGATTGTTAGGGGTTCGGATAACCATAGAATTGACTTATGACTATACCTTATGGGGACTACTGTGAAGTTTGCGTGTTAACTTCCTATAGTGACCCTGTCATGAGTGGCATGGGTCCATAGTTGTATCTTAAGAGTTAGTTTTGATTATTGTTCATACATGTGAGTTATATGGTTATAAGGGGACGGTAGGGGTTCACCAACTAGCCCCTAATCATAAACTTGACTCAATTATCAGTGATCCGAATAATCATAGAACTGACATATGATGTTTTTATGACATATGGTTTGTACCCTGTGGGGGCTATTAGGAAGGTAGCCAATTAGCTTTCTTTTGGTGAACCGCAGGATCCACCGTTGCACCTTAGAGTTAGTTGAGCCTTAACATGCATGAACCCTATGAGATTGATATCGAGGTCACATCTCAAGGACTTAGAGATATGATGATGAGAGAGACTAGCATAAATGACTAACCAAGAAACTTAGAGAACTTAAGAATATTTTGAGGGCTAGAGGTGGACCAAGAACCAAGAAAATCGAATGAGTAAACCTAGGGTGTAGCCTAGGAAGTGCCTATACTAAGGAACGAACCCCCAATTGAGAATAAGACACTAAATGAATTAACTAAGAATAATAAAACTCGATATGAACTTTCAGCAAGCTGTTTACTGAGAATATTTTATATATTCAATCCTACTACTTCAACTTTATTTTCAAGTGGAGCTTGATGTAGCAGTCGAGGCAGAAGCACACGTGGGCTTTTGGCTATGAGAATCACACTTAGTCTAGAAAATACATTAGTTTGATCTTGGGCTTTTGGCTATGAGAATCACACTTAGTCTAGAAAATACATTAGTTTGATCTTGTAGTGATGTATTTTAATGGTCTCCTTTCTTATCTTTTGTAAAAACAAAATATTCATTACTATTTTAATTGAATTTCAAAAGTGCATGCATGTGTTTAAATATTTTAAATTTTATGAATTTTTACTTATTTTTACGTTCGTGCGGTCTATGGCTCGAGTCCCTCAAAAAGTGGGTCGTTATAGTTTGAGAAGGAATGATCGCTATTGGAAAAAGGTCATTCCGGTAAGTCCAATCCCTACCTTTTTTCTTTTTGTCAAAATTCACCAAATATGATGTATGTTAAAAATAAATGCAAAAGATTATCAATATGTTCAAAGAATTTGCGTTTGGATTAGAAAATAAATGCGAAGAATTTTGTATGGTTTCCAAAAACTTAGGTTTTGGGTTAGAAATTAAATAGCAAAAATTATGCCGCTGTTTTAGGAATTTACGTGAAGATCATCGTCAAAAAGGCCAAGAATTGATAAAAAAAATGGCCCAAAGTTGGAAAAATGGTCAAAAGGAAGAGAAATCACAATACATGAAAAAAGAAATTAGGTTCGGATCCAAGCTTGAGGTTCGAAATCGAAGCGACATCTGAACCTCAGGCTCATAACAAAACCAAGGTAAGTTCAAATTCTGTATCCACGCCAGAAGCCCAGGCGAGCGTGTACACCCTCAGCCTAGCCCCATGTTAGCACTCACGGTCGTTTCCTTCAGCCCAGTGTGCTCGGCCCTCTGCATTTCAGTCCACCCCACCCCACGCACGTACCTCGGCCGGCTCGCGTCTTCGGACCAAAAGGGGGCCACACGCAACCCACGACCCAATTTGATCCATAATCTAGATATGATTCAACTCATATCCGACCTACTCCACCCCACGACTCAAAGGAATAACCGACCTGATCTAGTTCACAATTT